TAAGGCTCGGCCAAGCTGGCTAGAAAGTGATCCGGAGAAGAGCTAAAGAATTCCGTAAGGAGGATGCTGGGGAAGGATGCTGACACGCACGAGGCAGAGGCAGCCCATGTGGTTTGGAGGTGCCGCTAACAAACCCTGGGGTTCCTCCTAGTAAGCTTGGGAATACCCTCAGAAAGGAACTGAGCTGAGCATCTACAAGGGTCTGGTACTCCAAACTCTACCCTGACTTCCAAGAAGGGTGGATGGAAGCTGCTCTCTCGCTGCAGCTGCGTTAGGCTGATGAGCCACTCAAGTGGATGCTGAAAAACGTTCTTTTTTTTTTTTACCCCCTGAGATAAAAAGAGATTAGAAGAGGCTGAAGTGCACAGCTTCCTCCCTTCCAGACCCTGGAAACACGCGGAGAAGCACACAGGGTCATTTGGCTCCGAAGGCTGAGGGATGTGAGTGCTTTGCCGCAGAGCCCGCAGGGAGCATGAGTCACGTGGACGGCCTGGACAGATCCGGACTGACAGCATCCACCGGATCACCGCCTCGCGTTGCGCTCCAAGGGCAGAAATAAACTGGGAAACAGGAGGGGCTTGGGGAGGGTGGGCTATGGGCTGAGGGGGTTTCAGCCCACGTGCTTCTGGTTCAGCAGAACTGGACAGGGCAGTATGTCCTCAGTGGTGTCCAAGCCCCTTCCTCTGCTGGAGCGAGCAGGTCTGGGGGTTTTGACAGGAGACCATGCTTTGGAGGTGGGTCCAAAGGACTGAAGCATGTGCTTTTTTTCCTTCTGCAGCCCAGAAACATGGGAACAGTAGTACCAAAAAGACCAAGACGTTAGGGAAAACCAGCACCTCCCATTTTTTTCTAAACTCTTGCTTTCCGCGACGTCTCCACATCACCACACGGAGCTCTTGCTGCCGTTGTCGTGTCGTGAGTGTTGCCGTGTGTGCGCCTTTCTGAGTCCTGCCCTCATCTCAGGGCTCCTCTGATGAGCTGTCACCACGTGATAAAATGTGTCGTGGTGGTTGCTGCTTCGCAGAGTCGTGTATCGCTGTGGTTTGCGTCGTGCGGAGGCGTTATTATTCCGTTGCATAGTGTAGATGCATCTTCGTCGCAAAGCAAAGGGAGAAGTCTCCAATGCCTCCTGAGAAGGAGGACCAGGATACATGCAACACAGCTTGTAGAGCCCGGGGGTGCCACAAGGAAGGGACCACACCAAAGCCATCTGATAGGGACGCTTGGCTTTCCATCTCTGTCCCCAGTGCCGCGTAGGAGAGCTGTTGTCACAGCGTCACCTGCTGCGTGAGCTCTGGAGACACTGAGTTGTGTCAGAAAAGGAGGGTGCTCTTGGATTACTGCAGCCTGGGCCTGGACAAGATGTCACTGCAGTCCACTCCAGCTGGGGACTCATCAGGTACAGCTACATCGACACTTCTGGTTTGTACAAATTTGTTCTCATCTGGTCTGAGCCTCCACCTCCGTGCTGCCTTGAAGCCCACCCTGAAGCTTTCAGCGCTCAGATGGAAAGCAAAGCCCATCTAGGGCTCGCTCTGTGGGTGACTTTTTTCTCAATCAGGGCAGTCTGTGCAATTAGGGTACGAAGAAGGTCGTCATGTGAAAAGATACAGACAGGGGAGCTGCCAAAAAAAACAGGTTGATGAGATCAGAGCCTTGAGTGGTTTGTGCTTGCAGGAGAGTTTCAAGTAGAGTAGGGCAGGGTCACGACTGCTGAGATCGGGAGACCTACCAAGGAAACGTGCAGTGTTGAGGAAGGCTTATCGTTCTTGTTATGCCCATCCAGATGGGAGAACTGGAAGCTGTGCATCTGTGGATGCAGTTGGGTACTTACGGGCATCCCAGTGGCATCTGAACTGCTGGAGGTGGCTGTAGTGCTGGAGGAGCTTACCCAGCGTGCTGCTTCGTCCCACCTGAGGAGCAGGTGGTACAGGATGATCCCTCTGCTCCAGATGCCCGTGTGGGTGGAAAGAGGTGTGGACTTGGGCGCTCGAGCAGTTATTTAGGGAGAAGGGTCTGGACTGCAGGAGCAGAGGTTGGTTTTGGTTGAGGGGACTATGCCAAGCACTTTGCCATGATTGTTGTATCGACCACTGCTGACCCTGTGCTCATTTTCCATCATACAGCTCCCCAAAGTGACCTCTCCTTGAGCCCTGATGCCACCCTGATTAGCAGACTGATGGTCCTCAACCAGCTCCCAAGGTACGCTGGCAGGGGGCAGGAGGAGCAACTGCGTGCACCAGGATACGGACCAAGGCTTTTCCAAAATTAATGTAGTTTTGTGTGCACAGGCACACAAGCTACGGGGAGGACAACGGCATTACCACGAGCTGCTGTCACCCCTGCGTGTGTGAGGATGATGGTGGAGCAGCGGGCATGACCCCGAGGGTGGCACACACCTGCTGCCACAGCTGCTGGGTGCAGTGTCCCTGTTCCACCCCGTTCCAGCGGAGAGACGGGGCTGGCAGGAGGACGTTTCACCCTCCTCACAGGTGGTGTCTCTGCCGTTGTTGCCACCTGCCTTTTTGCCACCAGTAGCAGCGTGGTGCTGGTGTGGCTGCTGCAGAGAAACCCCCTCTTCCCTCTGCCCAGCGAGTGCAGCGCAGTCGGGCAGACCTGGACCACGGCCAGCGGCAGCTGTAGGACCTCGAGGCCCTTTCGACTCACCACCAGCAGACAGGAGAATAACTTCTATAAACAAAAGGCTTCTGTGGACATATTTTAACCATATTTTTCTTCCAGGACATTCTGGTGTCTCTGCAACACGCTTTTACTTCCATCTTAAATTTCCTGGGCTTTTCACTCCTTCCTCCTATCTCCTCCAGCCAACAAGGAGCCACTTTCGGTGGCTTTCTCAGAGGCATCTCTTCTCTGCACTCCGCAGGCTTGCACGGTCCAAGGCTGGTTTGTTGTCCTAAGGAAATGACTTTGTCACCCTCTTCCCAAACTTACCTTCTAGGTCGACGCTCACAACTTCTTCAGACTCTGATTTCCAGGAGCTATTGGTATCCTGAACTGCCTTCCCGACAAGATTAGTCCTGAATTATTGCACTGCTCGTGGTGGTTTCACTTGTGCATTGGTTTGTTGGGAAGATTGCAGGGTTAGGGACGGGGCTGGGGGGCTCAGACCACCCAGGAAAGGCACATGAGGATGGACAGGTTTCACGGAGAGCAGAGGGCTGGCACGTTAAGGAAGGCTTGTGGCAGCCAGGGAGGTGGGAGATAGTGAGAATCAGGATTCCACATCCTTGCAGGAAAAGGAGAAATACAAATTTGAACCAGCTGAGAGTCCCACAGAAAAAAAAACTTTAGTCCATCTTGCAAAAAAACTAAACCCAACCCCGAAGTAATTTATTGCAGCCCAGGCAGATAAAAGAAGAGCATAAAATGGGTTCCACAAGAAGGTCAAATTAAGGGCATGAGCAAAACATGCATATATATATATATGTGTATGTGTGTGTATCTTCTGTTCAGTGTCTCTCATTATAGAACTGAGGATCCTTAAGGGTTTCTTGTCTTGTCCATTGGCTCCTAGTTCCCAGGAGCGTCATCCCTCCGTGGCATTAGACTGGGGGAATGACGAAGGAATAAAGAATTACATCAAAACAGGAGAAAGGGAGATGGATTCACAGAGCACTATGGGCTGGCAGGTGTTTAGGTGCAGGCAGAGACTTCATGAGTCCTTCTGAGTCCTCCAGTGCCACAATACTACTTATTCAGCCGGCTGCAAGAGAAAAGTATTGTGTGAGTACTGGGATTGTAGAGGGGAAAGGTTTCACTGGGATACTTCAAAGCCAGCCAACCCCTCCTCGTTTTTGCTTAGTGTAGAGAATGACTGCCCATCTGCAGCTGAGGATGCAAATGGTTATTTGTGCATCCAACACCGCCGTGGTTTGGGTTCCAGTTACACCGAGCTGCTTACTTGGCAAAGAGAGGTGAAGAACAACTGCATCAGCACTTGCACTGCACAGATTTATCTAGTTTTTGATGTAGTTGTATGGGTTTGTCCTCTCCTTATGGGGATTATCTTTTAACCTTGATAAAAAGTAGGTGAAACCAAAGCGAATTCTTTGACACACGTTATGTTAACCAGCTCTTCGCCGCATACACATCCCAGCTGCGAAGTGGTATTTGCCAATAAACATTCTCACTGAATTCCCAGCGACAGTGAAACAAAAATACGAGTGAAACTCTCACAGTTTGCCACTGTCACCGGTGAAAATCAAGCAGAAGTACAGTTCTGTACCTATACATTCATTGCACTGGTTCATACAACCATTTATCCTGTCCTTAGCTCTGCACTTCCAGTGACCAAACAGCTGCCAGTGTTTCTTCACAACTGCTTGTGATGCCTGGTGTCATATAAGCTTGAAGACCTGGAAAAAAACAGCTTCTCTGCTGAGAAATCCTCGCTCCCATGAAAAGGGCCAGGGCATGGTGGGGTATTTCATATCCCAAGGCCTTTGGGAGAGGGCATGGTTCTCAGTGTGCTGTGCTTTTCTCCTCTTTTTCCTGGCTCCCAGGAGGTTATTAGCAATTTTCACAAACTGCACTCCAGCACTGTGCTAGCAGAGCTGCAATCACATTATGGACATCACGGATTTTTAAAATTTGGGTTTCTTCCTTGAGCTTGGTTGTGTGCCTTTCCTCAATATCCAGGTCCCAGATCCGCTGTGGAACCCATCAAAGGACTCTGGAGCTCCTGCTTGGGTTCAGCCAAAATCTCTCAACATCAAGGTAATTCGAGTGAAACCTCTCTGCTCGAAAGTTTCCCAGCACAGTGCTAGGATGGATTTGGGGCACAACAGGAAATTTGCTAAACATAGCTCATAGCTCTATAGCTCATAACATGGATTTACATGAGCAAGGGCTGAAAACGCTGAAACGCAGCTCTACTGTAGCACCAAGCAGGCTCAAGCTCCATTTCTCCTCACCTGGCCATCAAGCTCCCCTGTCCTGAAACCAGATTCTTTGCCCATACCAGATGCCCTCATTGCCACTTACTGTTGACACTGACACGTCTTGTTTTCCAGCAAGTACTGTCTTGCTCGTGCCATCTTTTTTGCCCGTTGCTGCCAGGAGAGAAGGGGATAAATAACGATTGGGTATTTTTATGCTTCAAATGCTTTCCTCTGAAGTGGTAGTAAAGTACCGTCTGACATCTGCAGACTGTCCATCTCGGACCATTTGATTTGAGTCTAAGGATTAACCCTTTATCTGTTCTGCCCCACACCCAGATAAAAAATCAGACTCCTCCTCTGGTTTGGGGAGACTGTCATCTCTTCAGCTTTCACAGGGACCAGGGCACTCACCCTTCTCCGCTGCCAGCTTATGCCACTGATGATGCACAGGCACGCAAGGGCAAACACCAAGACGCTGCCTCCAATACTTGCTCCAGTTATCACGTAGCTAATCCAAGCAGGAGCTTCCTCTGTGGAAGGAGAGAAGTATTCAGAGACAGACACAAAGACAATCGTAAGGCTTTTGGGTGGAGGCAGAGACGTGATGCTAATTTCCATACCCACGGGGTAATTAAGGCTGATCTTCCTGTCATTGTCTTCGACGAGGTGACAGTTCCACAGCCCCGCAGCACTGACGTTCACCTCCACTTTTGCTTCATGTGGCTTTGACTTCTTGACGTCCGCCTGAGTCCCGTTCACACGTTCCCACAGCAAGTGGGCGTTGGGTGGGAGTGGGCTAGAGACCTGACAGATCAGGGTCACCTCGGCCCCTCTGGGAAGTGGCCCAACAGTGTTAGCTGAGACTGTCAAGGCAAGAAAAGGACATGTGAGTGGGAAGATGAGTCCATCCGTGCTCTTGCAGCTTGCAGATTTCTACAGCGCTTCGTCTCTTGACCTACTTCTCTTTCTCACCTTTCATCACCACCAGCTCTATCTTGCTCTGTGCGTGTCTTTGGTGGTACGCCAGCTGGCACTGGTACTGCCCAGAGTGGTTGAAATGGACTTTGGGGAGTTTCACTGCTATGGTGCTGTCAGGTTTTCTTTCAGGTATCTCGAACCGAAAGCGGCTGCTTTTTTTGGTCTCATGCTGCTCTCCCCGTGATGTGACGTTGAAATCAAGCAGCTCATGAGCGGTTGCACTTTCCTGTTGTTTCCAGTTCAGTTGTCCCGTGAAGCCTGCTTTCCATTTTATTTTCTGGAAGTTCAGGTGCCATGACAAGATGACAGTGCTATCAGCAGTTGCATACTTTCTTTCCAAGTCTGGATTCTGAAAACCTGAATTCAGAAGAGACGAGGAATACAGAGGCAGGGAAAACCATGGCTTCACTTCCCCACATCCACCCTTGATCCGGAGAGACGCATGCTGTGCTCAGTTGAAAGACAACTTGGAGGGAAGCCACGAGATGCCCCAGGAAGGATAAACTGTTAGTGCCTGAGAATAAGTTTAAAGAGCCAAAGCTCTCAAGCTCACCACAGCTGAGAAGAACAGGAGAGGGGGATCTTTTAGGGCAAGTCTGGAGAGGAAAATGGGAGCAAGCGTGGGACAGAGCTCAGGCAGCAGAGAAATCCTCAAGCTGCAGTGTTGGAAGCCGTGGGAAATCAGCCCTGCAGCACCCACCATTGCTTGGGATGCTGGAAAGTAAAAGCTCAGCTCACGAGCTGGTTCCCGAGCCTGTGTGTGAGCTGCATGTTTGTTGTCACGTACCTAATACCTTTACTTTAAAGGGGATTCTCTGGTCAATCAGTGGAGAGTCAGAGTGGACATGACACGTCCAGGTCCCGCTGTCCGTAGCCTCCAGTTGATTTAACCTCAGTGTGTATTTTTCACGGGTCTTGTCTCGTGAGAGTTCTGGTCTTACTACGTCATTGTTACTGTTAAAAAATGTGATGTCGAGATCGGGTAGAGGGTGGGATGAATTTTGCGTTAAGGTCAGCTCAGCGATCTCATTCGGCAGGAAGTGCCCGTCTAAAGAGATGGTCACTGTAAAGAGAAAGAGCACAGCCAGTAAGTCAACTCCTCTTCCTGGGAGAGAGGGACAAGCGTCACAGCAAAGAGAATACAGACTTTGTGCCCTGGAGATGGAGGAGTAATGAACTATGAGAGCCCAGGCCAGAAGAAATGGTGGCTGGATGAAGAATCCCAGCAGAGACGTCTCCGAGCTCTGCAGTGTCCTCCCCCCTCCCCTCCTCATGGATAAAAGCCCTCTCATCACTCACATTTAAAGACATGCAGTGAGATACTGACTGTGTTGGAGCCATATTCACAGGTGTAGATGCCAGCATCGGAGAGCCTTAAGTCCGACACCTTCAAGTTTTTATTGCTGGAGTTGATTTCAGATCGGTCGGTCATGGTAGCTTTGCCTTTCGAAAAAAAAAAAACAGCTTGGTGAGGAGGGAAGAGGTTTCTCAGCCATATACTGGGGAGAATGGGTGATGAATTTGAAGCCTTACCTCTCAGATGGGTCGTCGTAAACTGCCTTATAAGAACTTTGTAATACTTCCAGGTGACCTGTGCGTGGTGAGGTATGCCTCTGCAGATCAGGGTCACCGCCTGTCCTGCGACCCCGCTCTGTACGTCGTTTTGCTGAGCCATAATGGGGGTCTGACCTGAAAGTCAATACCCACCAAAAAGGGCACACGTTCACTTTCTGAAGGGTGGCTCAGGGAATACTTCCCATCCCTCCAGAAAGATGCAGATGTTTCTCCTCCCTTTCCCAGATACCGGGAAGATTAATGCCAGTTTCTGAATTTTTCATTCCTTTGTCTCATCAATCAATCCCTTTTCTTTTCAGCTCCATAGCTTCCCTCCCCTCCACTTTGGGCTCTTTACCTGGCTAAGGGCTATTCTGTTTCTCATAGAATCATGGAAGGGTTTGGGTTGGAAGGGACCTCAAAGATCATCCAGTTCCAACTCCCCTGCCATGGGCAGGGACACCCTCCACTACACCAGGTTGCCCAAAGCCTCATCCAACCTGACCTGACATACATTCAGAAATAGGGGAAATGCCACTGGTTGTGGTGGATTCACCATCATTCACGATTTTGCGTCAACAGTTTCACTGAAACAACCTTTTTCCGCTGGACAAAATTTTGCTGTCCTACTGGTAGCAAAGGCAGAACAGCATACGCCAGCCCTCCTTCACTCCCCAATCAAGACCTGAGGCAGCACTGGCAAATTTGCTCACTCCTTCTTCCAGTTTTTGCACGGAGCAAGACTGAAAGCACAGGAAAATGAAAGGATAAAGTAAAAAAAATCCCCAAAAACACAAAGAAAGAAGGCTGGCCTAATGTCAGGTTCCTGTTCTTGGGATGAGGGCTATGTGACAGTAAAAGAAGTAGGATGTATAAGGTTGAAGAAGCATTAGGAGTGGTTTCTTGGAAGAACCACTTCCTTTCCTTCCCTGTAAAGATCATTTCTGCAGGAGACAGCTAGAAGGAGATGGAGTTGCCAGTGGTATGACTGGCAGGGGCTGTGGGCTCCTGCCTCACTGCTGGTAAACTCTCAGAGCTGCCAAATCTGCAGATCCCCTACGTGCCTCTAGTACTGGTGAGCCACAAAAAAGCAAAATAGAAAGTTTACATGAGTTTAAGGGAGGGTTTTCCACAAGTTACATACTCCTCCAAGAGCACAGGTAACCTGCAACCTTCCCAATGCAAGTTTTCAATAATTACACATTGGACCCCAGAAATGATGAGCTTGTCTTAAGCTGTGAAATTATAAATGCTATTAATAGAAGTTGGTATCTTTTGCTTTGGTTTTGGTGCCAGGGGGCATAAAAGAGTTCCAATCTTTCCTCTGCAACCAGAGGAATCACAGCTGAGTATCTGAGAAACGCAGGCTTGGACTTACTCAGCCGCCTTCCTTTCCTGGAAAATGAGCTCTAAAAAGTCCACCAAGTTTTATGTTAGCAGTCAAACTGAGCAAGCTGGTAGCATCACATTTGTAAAGGCAAACCTTTGTGACAAGAATCATAGAATCACAGAATGGTTTGGGTTGGAAGGGACCTCAAAGATCATCCAGTTCCAACCCCCTGCCATGGGCAGGGACACCCTCCACTACACCAGGTTGCCCAAAGCCTTGTCCAACCTGGCCTGGAAGACACAAGTTTTTGGCCAGGGAGCTGGAGGCAGCGTGGAGGGCAGTGTTTTCCACTCTGTGCACTCACAGGGACATCTCACAGGAACCTCCTGCATCCCTGCACGGAAGCTCCCCAAATTTGGTGAGGCTCCAGGCACCCTTCTTTCGGCTGGCAGGCTCAGCAGGCAGACTGGGAACAACCCCAGTCCCTGAGCTTGAGCTGATTGTGCTGCCTCTGAAATAAGAGGGATGTAGGGAACCTCTCAGCTTCTATTCCCTCTGTCCTCACCTCCACTGCACGGCCCCGCAGAGAGCTGCTGGGCAGTGCAGGGTGGGCCAGACAAGGTAAGGTGGGATACCACAGCTGGGATGAGGCTGCTCCAAGCCCTGTGAGGTATGTTATACAGCAAATAGGGAGGCACCTAAAACCACCCCAAATGAACCGAGGACTCACCCAGGTGCAGAACCATGAAGATGGCAAGCGTGCTGCTCACCACTGAGCCGCATGACTCCATCGCCGTGGGAACGCTCCTCCCTGCCATCCCCGGTGCCAAGGGATGCTATCCTGGAAGACCCAAATGCTCTGTTAATAATGGTTGACTTTCAGACCTTGGTGGATGGTGCCCACGTTCCCAGTCAGTACCCACCATCCGTCAGCGCAGCGAAGTGGAAACTCACTGGTAAAGTCACCTGAGCCCTGTGTTTCAGCAAAGAATCCAGCTGCAGCATTCTCCTTGGAGTTGGGTATTAAACATTTCATTTTACTCATCCCAAGGTTTCTGGCATTCCCTGGACTGCAGGTGTTTATATTGCCAAGAGTTTTGTGCTTTTTTACTTCCCTGTGGTGAACCGTCATCGCTCTTGCAGCGATGAAGGCTGAACACATACAGGGCTGCAGTAGCACGGGCACAGCTGGCCAGCTGAGGGGAGTAGCTATCTCCCTGTATTTGGCACACCTGAGGTCTCATCTAGAATAAAGGATCCAGTTTTGGGCCCTCAAGTGCAAGATGGATGCCAAGGAACTGGATACTGTCCAACGGAGGGCTACTGGGACGGTCAGGAGGCTGGAGCACGTGGTATACAGGGAGAGACAGAAAGCTGGGTTTGGCAGGGAGAAGAGAGCCAAGGTGGGATCTAATTTCAGTCTCCCGTTATCTGAAGAGTATTACCTAGAAGAAGGAGCCACATCCTTCTCAGAGGTGAACAGGAGAGGAAGAGGAGGCAGCAGCCATAGATTGCAGCAAGGAACTGTTGGCTAGATATAAGGAGTCCAGCTGTGAGCAGGAGGTTGGACTGGAGACCTCTGGGCATCCCTTGCCATCTAAATATTTCTGTGTGATTTTGTGATTCTGTGATTAAGGCCATCTTTAGGCTCTTATTAATATTTTTCTTTTTGTCTACTTATTTCTTTAAAATCTCAATAATCACCAAGATATTGTTGGAACAACTTACTTGAATTCTTAGGAGTGTTCAACAAAAAGTGTGGGGAGAAGGGAGGGAAGAGGTCAGAAAGAAGACGGATTGATGGTAACAAAACCTAATCAGGAGCTGGGAGCTAATTTTCACATTAAGGTGAGTTATCAAATTAGAAGAAGTATCTGACTATAGCTGAGACCAAGTGCTGGTATCAGCTGCAGCTGGGTGGGCTGACAAGGTGAAGGGGACCATGGGTGATGGTGCAAGAAGACTACTGAGCTCTCCATCCCTAAACCAAGGCATACACCACAAGAAGGAACCCAAGCAAGTTACCTGGTCACTGGGGAGTGAGCAAAAACGGTGAGGTGACCTCCCCTCTCCAAAAGTGGGCACTCCCCATGCCAAGAGGCCCTTGGGACAGACCTTTCCTGTTGCTTGTATAAGGTGTCAGCCCTACGAGGACTTGTCCCTGGCAGGCATCCACTGTCCCTCAGACAGACACAGCCCAGGGGCCACTTGTGGCCGAGGTGGCCAAGCCAGGAGGGGCCATGGAGACAGCTGAGGAGGCACTGGGGCAGCTCAGATGCATCCCACCTCCGAGCTCAAGATGAGGCAAAGGTTGGAGGACGTTGGAGGTTCGAGAAGGGGAGCTGGAGGGTGCTGCGTGAGCACTGACAGCGTAGGAGCGGGTCAGGAAGAGCTTCTGCCAGTAAGGCAGGAAGTTCAAAGCTGGAAATGCTTCTAGAAACGTACATGAGATGAGGCAGAGGGCTAGGGCTGCAAAGTGTGACAGAGAAAGTAAAGAAAGTAGTATAAAGAAGAGGAGCATGAGGTCATCAAGAACAGGGGAACTCGGGGAGCACAGGGTGCTGTACAGAAAACATGGGCTTCATCTAAAGCAAGAGAGGCTTCGGTTAAACCAAAACAGCACCTGGCTGCTGACACATAAAGTCAGAACTTTTTTAAACAAAGCCTGGGGAAAATCCAACAAATGTAGATGAGCGTATTATGTGGGCTGAAGCATCCGAAGTACAAAAACTCCACGGCCTCAAGTGAAGGGTCAGGCAGAAGCTGGCGAAGCTCAAGGGACAAGCAGTGGGAAGCAAGCTGAACAAACCAAATCCCGTTTTCATGGAGTGTGGGAAAACACTATGGGTGCTACCGATGGAGAAAATCGGATATCAGAAGTAGAACTGATAAGTAGCAAGAGTGTGGAGGAGACATCCCAGCACAAGGAGATCTGAATCCCTAACAAAAAAATTCCCACTGGTTTTCAGAGAAGTCGGTAGGATAGCTGGTGGGATGGTCTCTCAGCTCTAGCTGATAATAGAAACCTCCTGTCATGGGTAACATGACAGAATGAAGGCTGGAATCATAATGGGATTGAACTCAAAAGAAATGCAAGAATAATTTTATACAATATTTATATGCATTATGTGCAATATTAAATACAATATGAGGATAATTTAATATTGAAATGAATTTAAACACTCAGAACACATGAAACTATCAGAGAGTTGAGTACTGTGTCCAGTTTGGGGCCCCTCACTTCAAGAAAGACGTTGAGGTGCTGGAGCAGGTTCAGAGAAAAGCAAGGGTTTGGAGAACTTGTCCTATGAGGAGCGGCTGAGGGAGCTGGGACTGGTCAGTCTGGAGAAGAGGAGGCTCAGGGGGGACCCTATTGCTCTCTACAACTACCTGAAAGGAAGTTGTAGGGAGATGGGGGTTGGTCTCTTCTCCCATGTTATGAATGACAGGACGAGAGGGAATGGCCTCAAGTTACGCCAGGGGAAATTTAGGTTGGATATCAGGAAAGAATTTCTTTACGGGGGGTTGTGGAGTGTTGGAACAGGCTGCCCAGGGAGGTGGTGGAGTCCCCATCCCTGGAGGTGTTTAAAAACCGTGTGGATTTGGTGTTGAGGAACATGGTTTAGGGACCCTGACAGTGCAGGGGGAATGGTTGGACTCGATGATCTTGAAGGTCTCTTCCAACCAGACGATTCTATGGTGATTCTATGATTTTCCATGTACCTTAGAGTAGACGGAAACGTCAGCACTACCTTGACGTGGAGACGAGGTCAGCACGACCAACAACCCGACAGCTAGACAGATGTGCAGACGTACTCTCATCGAAAACACAGGTGCAAGAGCAAGGCAGCAGCCACGTGCACCATCAGAAGAGACAGAGACAGCAAAGGCACAGTCAGAGAAGATTTGTGGCTTTGCCTCATGCAACGCAAAAAAACCCCATCCCAGCCCCAGGGAATGTTTGCATGAGCTGTTCTGTGCAAAACCAGTACAACGAAGGAGCCGGTGCACGTGACTGGAGATCACTTCCAACAGGATGCAGCAGTGGTGATGGAGCAGTTTGCTGGGCTACGCTGCGGAATAAAGAAAGGGGCAACAACGCGGCATCTGCACGCGTCTCGCTCCGAAGGAATCTATAACCCAGAAAGGGCGTAGGGTCCTGGATAAAATCCATTCCTGAGACGATGGAAGAAACTTTGTCCCCGCTGTGGATTCTCAACCATCCCAGGGGGACCAGCAGGAAAAGTCAGCCTCCACTCTAAAGCGATATCTACAAATTAACAGGGTCAGTGCTGGGTGTCAAATTAAGTCATTAAGATTTATATGAGACCTGAAGGTGATGGAACGGGTGAAAATGGGTGAAATCGCTGAGTCACACCCCATCATCTTGTTTTGGCTGGGAAGTCAGTTTGTTCTTCGCCTTCTTGCTACCTGGGTGTTGGGTGAAACCACGGAACCAGAGCACCGTGGGACCGGTGAGCCGCTGACTCCGCGCAGCTTGGCCGATGCAGATGGATGCATCTCTGTTTTTCTGTTTCTTCTCATGGTTTCACACCTTCTGCATTCCTACTTCATTCACACTAATCTTTGTCTTTCTGTGGCAGGTCTCTACGACATGATGTTTACCACCAGGGGGGAAAATCGATTTCCTGCAGCCAGAATGTCTTTCATGCACTTTTTCTATCCCCTGCTTATCTCTACTTCTTAAGCATGCCACTTCCCATTTTCCCCATCTTTCTGTTTCTCTTTGGATCCCTCACAGTCAGATCACAGGTCTGGAGTCTGCAGCCCTCGGAGAGCAAAGCTCTGCTGCGTTAACTGACCAAGCTCCCGTTCGCAGACGCCTGTTGCAGACCTGCAGCCTCCTCACCGGCAGCCCATCTGCATCTTCCTGGTGGTACTCACAAATTAAGTGGTGTCAGGGAATGTCCGCAGGCACTGGAACACGCTCACCAGTCCTGTTCAATCACTAGAACATTTCCTGACATGTTTTTGGCCCTGGACAACTCTCGCTCTCCTGAGCAACTCCCAGGATGGATTTAGGTGCTGGCAGGGACCAGGGACCACTCCCATTAGGTGACTGGCGTGTAGCCAGTTCATTTTGAAGGTTAAGTGAGTTTAATAGCCCAGACCATCTCATGCCAGCTGGCCTCTGCACCAGAAACGGTCCAGGCGTACGTGATTTATTAGCACTTCTAGCGACGGAGGAGCAGGGCTCCCTCCCAAGTGAGCATTGATTTCCATTTCATTTCAACTTCCCCCTCTTATTAAACTGGTTTAATTTCCT